GTGGGGAAATGATTTGTAGATGGCAAGGAAATTTCAACCTTAAACTTAAAATGTCTGGTTCACCTTGTTTTCTGCTAATAATGATGGGGTTTTGATTATGTACATTGTTGGTTTGCCTTTAGTAGATACTTATTTTAAGCAAAATATAAAAATGGTTATAAAAGAGGAAACCCCTGAACTCCCATACAGTATCTTTTTGGTCACATGGCCTTCTGCTTTACATATGTAGGCTACCTAAATGTAAAAATAATATTATCTTGATCAAACCTGATCTTACCTTTTAATAGTAATCTGATTGGGCTCAATTGATGATAGAGTTGTGTTCAGAATTATTGGCACCCCTGGTAAATATGATCTAAGATGGCTCTAAAATAAATCTACATTGTTTATCCTTTTGATCTTTCATTAAAAAAATTGACAAAAATCTAACCTTTCATTGAAGTAAAACAATCCGTCGTCACATTATAGAATAAATGCTTTTCTCCAAAACACATTGGCCATAATTATTTACAGAGAACCCTTTTATTAAATACTTTTTGCAGCCTCCTTTTTCCACGATAATAGCTCTGATTCTTCTCCTATAATGTCTGATGATTTTGGAGAACACCTGACGAGATCAGAGAGCATTCCTCCATACAGAATCTCTCCAGATTCCCAGATCCATGTTGGTGCTTCTTCTCTTCAGTTCAGCCCACTCATGTTCTATAGGGTTCAGGTCAGGGGACTGGGATGGCCAAGGCAAAAGCTTAATTTCGTGCTCAGTGACACATTTTTGTGTTGATTTTGATGTTTGTTTTGGATCATTGTCCTGATGGAAGATCCAACCACGGCCCATTATAAGATTTCTAGCAGAGGTGGTCAGGTTTAAATTTTTTATCTGTTGGTATTTGATAGAATCCACGACACCATCTGAAAAAGATGTCCAGGACCTCCAGCAGAAAAATAGGCCCACAACATTAAAGATCCAGTGGTATATTTAACTGTGGCCATCTGGTGGGTTTGCTGCCAAAAAGCTCTTTTTTTAGTTTCATCTGACCACAGAATCCGGTCGCTTTTGAAGTTCCAGTCGTGTCTGACAACTGAATATGCAGCAGTTTGTTTTCGGATGAGCGGAGAGGATTTTTTTTTAAACCCTCCCAAACAACATGTGGTGATTTAGAGGCTGTTTGATATATATTGTTTAGGCTTTCTGACCCTAAAACTCAACTAATCTCTGCAATTCTCCATCTGTGATCGTTGGAGAGTCTTTGGCCATTCAAACTTTCCTCCTCGCTGCGCATTAAGACAATCTAGACACATGTCCTCTTCCAGGCAGATTCGTAACATCTTTAGTTGATTGCAAATTCTTAATTATTGCCCTGATGGTGGAAATGGGGATTTTCAATGCTTTAGCTATTTTATTACAGCCACTTTCTGTTTTGTGAAGCTCAACAATCTTTTTCTGCACATCGGAACTATATTCTTTGGTTTTACTCATTGTGAAGGATGATATAGGGAATTTGGCCTTTGTGTTTCCTCATATTTATACTCCTGTGAAACAAGAAGTCAAAGCTAGACAATTTCATGCTCCTAGTTACCATGGTGTGCTAAAAAACGTAAATATTAATGGGAATATACTTCAGAGATATTTTACTAGAGGTGCCAATAATTGTGTCCAAAGTGTTTTAGAGAAAAACTTTAGAGAAAGTATCCCCCACTTTCAATTATTTTACTTCAAGGAAAGGTTAGATTTTTGCAGAATTTTTTTAATGAAAGATCAAAAGGATTAACAATGCAGATTTATTTTTACAGTCATCTTTGATCATATTTACCAGGGGTGTCAATAACCACAACTGTATATTTAAATTTAAAGTTTGATCATTACATCTTTTTAAAGATGAAAAATTATGTTCTCTGAAAAAACATGTAAAAAGAATTGTTGTAACTGACCTCAGCTCTGTGTTAAAGATGGCAAAGACATGTTTGCTGGACATAAAGCCCTTTTCTATGTCCCGCACCTTCAGGTTGTCCAGAGGAAGCATATATTTCTTCTCTTTTTCCTAGAAAATGAGACAGACAATGGACATCTTAAGACTTAGTGAGCTGCCTACCTAGACAGCATTTCTGGGAATCTTTTTTAACATTCACACATGGCACATTTTTGAGAAGCAAATCTTAATAAACAACTTTATTATAGTGTCAACAAACTGTATTAGGAGTTTCTCCAAAACAGGAAAATTGTGTCATCATTTACTCATCCTGTGTGACTTTGTCTTTCGTTGGACACAAAAGAGAAAAATCTTAAGTCTGTACTGGTTGTTCTTTTCCATTTAATTACAATGATTTGGGACTGGAGATTTCCAGCTTCAAAATTGACACAAATTTCAAGTCATCATTTACTAATCATCTTCCCTTCTAGTGATCTATTCACCACTGAAACATTGAGGCAGTGAGTAGAACTTGAGAACTGGATCAGTCCAACTCATTAACAAATCATTCAGATCACCTCTGTGAACAAGATCAACCAATAAATGAAATACCTCTGTTTCAAAAGAACAATTATTTTCTGGAATCAGATATCTCTTGTAAACTCAAGACTTTTATTGCTCTCAAGTTTTTTATTGTAGCTTCAGAAGACTTGGAATTTAGCGGGCATGTATGAACCGCTTTTATGAAACTTTTATGGTGTTTTGCATCCTTTTGGGAGCTTGAAGGCTTCTGTCCCTATTCATTGCAATTGCATGGAAAAGAGTGACCGGGACATTCTTCCTTTCTGTTCCAGCGAAGAAAGAAAACACAGGTTTGGAACAACATCAGGGTGAACAAATAATGACAGAATATTCCTTTTTGGCTGAACAATCTCTTTAACGGAATCTCTAAAATGGTGTGAACTAGGGAAAATTACTACAAGGAAGAAAGCCAAGAGCAAAGAAACAAAGAAAGAATCTACTGTAGATCCATGTGATCATCCTCAGGAAGGATTCAGGCTTAGGACTTAAAAAAAAAAAAAAGCACATGAGAGATGCCACTAGTTTTCACTTTTTGAGTAAAGAATTGAGAAAGAAAGAAGGAGAAAGAAGGAAAAAGAATGAAAGAGGAATTGAGAGATAGAGTGTGAGGGCCCACATGTGGAAGTCATTATTTGGACCATGGCTCTAAAACACAACATTTCGTCTGAAAAAAAAAACTAAAGAAAAGAAAAAGAGCTCCCCCTCTCCCCCTCCCTCTGTCTGTACAGGAGGGGCTGGGGTCTCAGGAAACGGCTTGGATTACATTGCAAATAACGGAACGGAGATGTGGGAAAGAAAGAGAGGAACAAGGGATGAAAGTGTGAGGGGAAACACTCTAAAAAGAGTAAAAATGAAAAACAGAAGGGGAAGAGAGAAGCCATATGAAGCCACTATCAGTGATTGAGTCTGACGGAGTGACTGTGGAGGAATTTTTTGGGGAAATTCAAGTATTTTCTGCAAATCAGCTAGACCATCTAAAAATCTAACGTCTACCAGTTTACCAAAGAAAAAAATCTGCCATCTATTCACCTTCATGTGATTCCAATGCCAAAACTTGACAGTAGCTATGTTTCCATACAAAGTTTTACATTTAGCTTGTGCTTTTAACTAAATTGGAATATTGCAAAAAACATTTGCGGACAATAAAGGATCATTTCCATCCAGCGAGTCGAAGAGAACAAAATAATCTCTTCCTGATACCCAGTATCACTAAGAAAAACTTTAGGTTGCTGCAATAGGAGAAGCCACTGTAGGTCTTTTTGCATATATAATAAATGACTTGCGTTGCAGAGCACGTAGATGAAACGCAATAAACACAGTCACGTCATCTTGCTTTTGGAGGCATTTTTTAAGCATGTCAAGGAATTTATTTGGTAAATGTGTTTCCATCGTACTTTATGCGCATGTTTTCCTGTCTTATAAAAATGTATCTGCCTCAATTGAGCACATCAGTTTTTTATGCGCATTTTTAGAATTAAGCACATCTTGGCGTTTCCATTCAGCGTCTTTTCATGCAATATCCCAAAATGTGCATAAAAATAGGTGGATGGAAAATAGCTATTGTTGAAGAATCATTACACAGCTCTTACCATTCAACAGCAGTCCATAGTGAGCAAGAGCTGACAAGTACCAAAAAGGACAAAAAAGCATCATAAAAGTTTCATAAAAGTGGACCATGGCTCTTGTGTGCTACATTTTAAGTGTTCTGAAGCCATACGATAGCTTTGTTTAAACAGACTGAAATTTAAGTCATTCACTACCATTTGGAGTCAGTTTTTTTTTAAAGATTAAAAAAAAAAAACTTTTATTCAGAAATGATGCATTAAACTTATCAAAAGTGACAGTAAAGACATTTATAATATTATTTATAAATCTTATATATTATTATTATCACGGTTTACAAAAAAATATTAAGCAGCACAACTGTTTTCAACATTGATAAATGTTGCTTGAGCAGCAAATCAGCCTATATTAAAATGATTTCTGAAGGATCATGTGACACTGAAGACTGGAGTAATGATGCTAAAAATTCAGCTTTGCCATCACATGAATAAATTATATGTTAAAACATATTAAATTAGAATTGTAATAAAATTAAATTGTAATAATATTTCACAACATTCCTTTTTGGCACTTGACAGCCCCTGGTCACTACAAACTCTCATTGTTGGACAAGAGTTAGTGCAAAAATTATTCAAAAAAACAACAGCATACGGTTTTTGTAACAACATGTGGGTGAGCAAACAATGACAGAATTTTTACTTTTGAGGGACCTATTCTTTTAAACTATCTCTCCTTGTCCTCCTTGACTCTTTGCACCCCTCCTTTTCTGCTCCCCTCGAAAACTTTCTCTCTTTTTTCATTCCAGAGGGGCCCACTTCCTGCCTGAGTTTTTAGAGGTTAAAAAAAAAGTTAGAAATGACAGGCTGGCGTTAGGAATACAACATCTGGTACCGCTTTAGTAAGAGAGTGAGAGAGAGAGGGTGAGTGAGAGAGAGAGAGATGGGGCAGGGAAGTCCAGAGGATGGCTGGGAGTACCGAGAGAGGACGGAGGGAGAAAGACAGGAGTGGATAGGAGCGAGTCGGACCAAAAGATTGAAAGAAAGAGAGGAATTTTAGAAACAACGGACCACTCCAAAAGTTTATTCCTCAAGGGTCCCATCAACCCTTATATGGCCAGTGGGGTCCCTCCCTCTCCTTTCTCCCTCTCTCCTTCCTTCTCTGACTCCTCATTCCCTCTTTTTTGCTATGCCTTCCATGAATGTCCTGCCAGATAGCCGGCTGCGGGAGCGAATGTGCCACGTCAAAGGCTGGATACTGCAAACCAACGCGGACGACGGGGCCGGGGACGAGACGGAACTGAAAAAGTCGAGAACGGGTAAACGGACGTCTGGAGCTTCTCTCTCCGTCCTCTACATTGGCGTCATCCTGACCGAGAATAAGATAGAAGCAATGGAGACTATTTCTGTCGTGTTTATTTTGCATCTTCTACCGCCTCCTGTGAAGGTCGGGGCCAGCAGGGTTGGACTGAGTGATTGAAGTAGATAAAGAATAAGAGGTGAAAAGAGAGAGAGAGAAAGAGAGAGTGAGAGAGAGAGGGCTGGAACTATCTCCTGCTCCGTCATCCCAGTGTTCAGACTACCTGTTCAGGATCATACTGGTGTACAGTAGTCTGCACATTGGTTAGACTGTGCATGGACTCACTTCGTTGGGGAACCGACGCAAACTCTCAAACGCAAGCAAAAACACACAAAAACTCAACAACTCCAGGTGAAAAGTCAGACTCTGCTATGTTTGGTTTGTTATCTACAACAGTGTTGGTTATACTGCATGTCTCTGTGGACTCAAAGTTGGCGTTAACGACACGTACAAGAAGTTTCTCAATGACTGAGAGCTTGAATTTAGCCCACCATAACCCATTACGTGTCGATAAACCTGGCATGCGAATAATATTACCGTTCTAGTAGTCCTTCCTGCCGTTTATGTGTAAACATGTACTGTATGTACTCAGGCCGAACTGTGCATGCATATGGCTTATATAAAAGCTCAGGGTGTCCGGCTAGTTTTCCATCTTGAGATGTTCAGAAGGCCAGATTTGTCCAGATCTCAGCATAATTGAAGAATGTATGCATGCTAACTTAACCTCTTAACCGTCTCCAGAGCGTCGGCGCACTGAAGCGTTTTTTTATTTATTTAGTTCAAATATACTATCAGATTTAATGTTATACCTTGACAAACTATACATCATTAAAAAGATATAAGACTCAAGATTCAGTATTTGACCACTATTGTATTCTGAGAAACTTATAGTGACAGTTATGTCTTAATTTGTGTCAGGAGTTATGAAATTAAAAAATGAGTCGTTACCTTTAATATGAATTATGAGCCTCAGCCGGTCTCATTCAGAAAAAAACTCCCGTGCGATCGTCATGACAGCGCTTGACAAAACAACGTCCCTCAGGGCTTTTAGCTCAAACATGTGCAGATTTGGAGAAATATTGATAGATTCTCATAGCTTTACATTAGACTTCTATAGACAGGAATAATATTTATTGAATTTATACCCAAATGCGTCGATGTAATCATTTTGAGCGCTGTATACTCTGTACTGTGTTATCAATTCATCCTGAAAGTGAGGGCGCTGTTTGAACAGAAGTCCATAATATATGGATCACATGAAGAAGAGCCATAATCATGTGACATTCAGGAAGTCCTGCCACAACAAAGCTATCCGAGATCGCTGTAAAGTGCAGATAAAGATGTTTTGAAGACAATAAACATGATTGCAATGATATTTGATTTACCTGTGTTCTTCGAGTCATGTCAGGTATTTTCATAATAATTGATTATATGTATAATGTAATGCTAATCGAGATAGACTTTCAAATTGTGCAGAATACAATAAAATAATATATTTTCTATCTGATTTTTTTATCTGAAGCCAAATCAGATTACAGAAAGTTATTTAAAACACTCGACTTGCGCTATAAAGTAAGTTTGGAGAACAAACATAGTTTTATTCTCATAAATTGTCGTGTATTGATGGTGTGCTAAGCTAACATGCTAGCTAGTACTGAGCACCTGCTACCTTACTTCGGTGTAATTTTTATGATTTTTTTCTAAATAAGAATGCTTACTGAAATGTTTCGTTTTTCAAAAAGGGCATTTGATACAGTTTCACTGTGAAGTGAGAACTTTTATAAAATAAATGAGGGATTGAAACAGTGTGAATTGCTAGTCGTTAGTGATTATAATGCAGACAAAAGAAAAGCATATTTAGAGCAATAAACTGGCTGGAGAGGTGTGAATATGTGCAGGGGAGACTGAGACTGAATGGGGCTCGTTTTTGCATCACAAAACAATAGAGGCAATAGACTGAATAGATGCTTATAAGAAAACAATAAACACCAGTCTAATCAAAATAAAGTCATATGACATGATCTTGAAAAACATTGAACTAAATACAGAGTTTTAGACTTATCATCTTCAAATTTTAAATATAACATGGCCAGACATGTGGCTTTAGCTGCAGTGCATTTCTAGATTGCTACAATGCCAACTTCAATTTTATTTTCATGAAGATGTTTCATAAAAATAAATGTATAATAACTTTACAAAACTTTGAAGCTATTTATAACTATTTTTTTCATTATGATAATAATTAATTCTACATTTACAATAAACTTCCAGGTGTCAGCTTTCAAATGAGATCTTACTTGTGCTTTTAGTACAAAGGGTTCATGAACTGTATCTGTTTCAGTTTGGGAATGCCATATCTGGGGATTTTTCAAAAATGGGCTTGAAGCTTAACAGGTTAAGACTCTGAGAAAAGGTGAAAAGACAGTGATTATGCCAAATGCAAACAGAAGTGGAGGGGTGCACAAGTCATCTGTTTTCCCTCATGCAGCTCGGCTCAAAAAGAGAGAGAGGGAAGACTGTAGGAATGCGTGTCTGTTTAGTGTTGGGCGCTGATTAATCCAAACCAGCAGTCTCGGGCCATAAACGCCATCAGAACTGGGACAGATTTAGAGAAAGGAAGGGAACGACTGATGCCAGTTTGTATTGGAGAACATTTTTTAAGGGTAAAGAAGTGATCTGTTTAAATGCAAGAATGTGTGTATGTGCACAGAATGTGTGAGAATTGCAATGTGATCTTCTGCAAGGGGTGAGGGGCTGTATCTCTTCCTCTCTCTTCTCTCTTCTCTCTCTCTTTCGGCAGGCTCTAGGAGGCTGGATGGTGTTTGGACAAAGTCTTACAATTTTCCACCCAGGAATGTGTATGGCCCCAATGAGACTGCCAACCACAGAGACAGAATGAAATGAAGAGAAAGTGAAGAAGATAGACAGGGAAAGAGATTGAAAACAGTGTGATATGAAGTCAAATGTTCCCATTTTAATTTTAATGTCAAATTTCAAATTCTGGAATGGAATATACTCCAGGCAAACTTTAGAGGGATCATGCACACACTCGTATTGAAAAGAAATTAGGCAATAATGGATTCAGCAGAACATAAGAAACTGTGAAGTCAGCCAACTTCTTAAGTCTAATATTTAAAAACTTGTGTAAAATTCAATGTTAATGGAAAGCCAATAATTTTAATATTATTTGTTCAGATCTGAATATTTTGAGTCTAACGGTGTGTGACTTTCAGAAAAATATAACCATGTTCATGCAAATTCCTCTGTTTGAAGCGCCGCACGGGTTTTGAGTTTCAGTATTCATTAAAATTAGTGTTTGCTTATATAGTCGCATGCATTTGGCAGTCGGGACGACCGGTGAGCGTTAGTGTGTCTGCGTCTGTGTGTGTTTAAGATTCTATGTATATCAATAACCATGTGTGTCTGAGTGTGTGTGTGTGTGTGTGTGTGTTTGTGTGTTAGTTTGACTTGGGGGGCTTCCAGCTATGTCAGGGTGATCCAGACCAAATGCCTTAATTCCCAATGGACAGAGAGAGACGGTGGGGGTATAAGGAAAAGGGAGCAAGTAAAATAGCAGCTAAGAAAGAAAAAGAAGGATTCAACAAAACGAGAAATGACCGACTGAGTGAAAAATAAGTGGATATAACAGTTTCATAATCTAGTAATAAAAGTTTCTGCATTTAAATTACTATTCTGGTTAAGAGTATTGTACGTTTTCAGTGTCATTTTTACTTTTTGTAGCTTTTTTGTATGTTAAATGCAATGATGTGAAAAGAAATATTTAGAAGACATGTAGAAGCCCTTTATGCTTGTATTCAAGTAATATATTATCTTTGTCCTCTCTCTTGCCCCTTTGCTTCCGGCTTCCGGTCGGGAGAAGCAGGCTGCGCTGCCAATGACTGAGAGCGTTGTCTGTCTGCCTGTCTACACTTGCTGTGCAGAACTTCCTGCACCTGTACAGCAGGCACAGACAGGCAGACAGATGGCAGCCCGCCTGACAGGCCACACAGTGTGACTGACACAGAGACCAGCCAATCAGTTCCACCACAACCTGGCAGGGAACTTTAAGCGCACCACTGACAACTGTATTTTACCATGATCATCATAAAGTCATCAAATGAATGAACAACACTTAATCTCTAATGCAGTTACTCGCCTCGTCATCTTTAAACCAGGACAAACTCTCTGCGGTGAGCACGAACCAGTACTCCTTGGCTCCTCCTTTGATCAGGCTGATGTTGTTGATGGTTAACCAACCCTTGCGAATCACCTGAGGGGCAAAAGTCAAAGGTGAAAAGTCTGGGTTCATGGTTCATTAAAAAACAGGCTGAGATTCTTTGGTCCTTTAAGAACCAAAAAGAACAGGAAATTAAAATTAAAGAACAGGCCAAATCTGTATCCAGGTGGTAAATTTCAATGGTCCTTTATCATGGATGGATGGATGGATGGATGGATGGATGGATGGATGGATGGATGGATGGATGGATGGATGGATGTTACAATACTACCTTGAAAAGGAGAACTAAAACAATATAATAAAAGCTAGTGGGCAGAGGATGACAGAGAAAAAACTAAGGGATGAGAGGGTGGAGGTGAAGAAAGAAAAGGAAACAGAAGATCGGGAAGGCAAAGGGAGAAAGGGGAAAGGTCCAAAACATCCCGTAGGAAATATGAGTCATTTTCTGGCTGATTTGGGCTGATCTTGACTTTCAAAACACAGTTTTATCCTGTGAGTCATTCAATCACTTCAGCAACATTATGAAAAGTTGTCATTTGGAAGTAGTATGAACTATTATTCTCAAATTGCACAAAATGTATTGATTTCCCTTTAAAAAGTAAAAATAAAGAAGAAGAAAGAAACTGAGGTGAAGAAATGAAATGCTGCAACAAAAAAAGGTCGCCATGATGCATGCATGATGATTTCTTCCCCATAAAAATGGTTATCGGTATATAAAATATTCCCATAACATAGATTAAAATAAAGTAACTCTTGTACAAATCTTGTACGAAAGTATTGCTTCACCAACTATTTCAATCAAACCTCCAAAACAACAACAACAACAACAACAACAACAACAACAAATACAATAAAACACAAAAACATTCTCTTTATTTTGTGACTGTACCAACTTCAAGTTTGCAGCATGCACCATTTTTTTTCAAAATCAGAAATTGTAAACACACACACACACAGGCCAAATGGACTGAGATCAAAGAGAAGTTTGAGATTCCAAATGGTTTTTTACATTAGCTCCTGCATACCTGCAAGCTGTTTACTCATGTACTGTACTTACAGGGCTGCAAACCCTAAGGAGGTTCATTCACAGACAGTACGCTATAAAAACAGAATTATAGCACAGTGATTCGGAGACATTAAAATGATGAATAGGAAGATAAATGAAGCAGGTAATTAATAGTATAAGGTTTCAGGATGTGGTTTAAGATTTCAGACTGTTACTTAACAAGATACGGCTGGGCAAATCAGGATTCAGAATACGAGTCCAAAGGTCAACGAGTCCAAACAACTGATGTTTTGGACTGTTGTGTATCTACACTGATTGAAAACTCTTAAGGGAAGTGTGGTGAATGAAAAACACACTGTACAACAACGTTTAGGGAGTGTTTTAGCAGGAGTCGTAAAAATCTGAATTTCTGAGTCCCAGAATGTCTTTGATTTATGTGACGGCAGCACCAGACAAAGGGTGGAGAAGAAAGCGGTGAAGAGGAAGACATGGTTTGCTGTGTTCAGAGGCATACAGGCTTTCTGACATACATAGACACAAACACAAAACTATGTGACGCTGGTAGACAGTAGGTAAGGCTTACAGACACTGGACTCGTACAATTTGACTGGGTGGAGGAGGGGCAGCACCCTAAAACATCAGCAGAGAGGAGAGAATAAAACCATTAAGGTGGCACGGGCATCTCTCCTGGCACGCTGGCACTCCACATTGATTCCTTCAACCCAAAAAATCTTTTATCATATCACTAAACTCTTAAAATACCATAAAATTTTCTAAGCAATGAAAATGGTTAGAGTTAGTAAAGATTAGACGTAGAGCAAAAAGCAACCATGCAGCACAGTGAGCGCTCAATGAATGTGTTACTCACCATGTGAGTGTGTGCAGGAGATATGAACATTAAAGATATTAAAAAAATTACAGGAATGCTTCAGGTTCGTTACAAGTCCAGCTCTATTACCAAAGAAAATCATTTTGACACCCTCAGTCGTGCGCACAAAATGAAAGTGAGGCAAAATGTGTTTTTTGAGCTGTAAGGTTGTCTAAATCATTCTTTTAGTATTCATCTTATCACACATCTAAAATTTAAATTGTGGCTATATTTTTGAAAATGTATATTTTAACATTTATTCCAGTTGCTCTATAGACTGCCACTGTGAGTGCATCATAGTACAGTACACATACACTACCATTCAAAAGTTTGGGATTGGTAAGATTAAAAAAAAAAAAAATTGGTAAAAACAGTGGTAACACTTTACAATAAGGGTGCACTAATATGCATTAATTCATGCTTAACTAATGCACAGATAATCTTGAATTAATGTATGACTTCATTAATGATATTCAATGATTACCGCATCTGCAACTAATAAAGAGTCTATCTGATTAATAGATTAACTTATTAGTATTAGTACTAGACTTACTAATAATTAAATGTCATCATGGATTAATTCCCATCCATCATTAACTAATGCTGTAAAGTAATTTGTTAATTATCAAAATGGGTCAAAGCCATTGATGAATCATTAGCAGTGATATCAATGATTAAAGATTCAAACTAGTACTTTCTTTTTTCTTTTTAAAATTAACTTGATTTGTTCAAATTATTGAACCTGGAAAATTCCTCTAAAATGGACATCAAAGATGGGAAAGAGCAACTTACACTGGAATGGACTGAAATGTTTGTGCTTAGGATCATGTGATCAAGTTTTAGTGAAGAGCACATAGATCAACCGTGGGGCAGAAGGGAAGCAAAAATGCCATTCAAAATCTCCTCTGGGAAATTGATTTTTAGCCTATAAACCTTTTGAAACAGACCTACCATTAAAAAAAATCTTGTTTAATACCCGGTGAAGCACTACAATTAAAACTGCAATAAGACAAACAGAGGCTCGAGGGCTTTGAAGGTGCAGTCAAATTTACCGATGTTCGGCAAATTTCGAAGGCAGAAATCCCATCATTTCAAAAGGAATCCACATGATCGGGAATTTCCCCATGCATATTTTGTAATGGAATTCTTCACATTGACCAACAGAAAGCTTCTTGGTTAGAAAGTGATTGTTGAGTGAGCTTTTCTTGCATACCATGTATTAGAAGATAGGCAATACATTGGTGAGCCACCTAAAAACTGCCCAGTCAAATGGATAAAAAGAATGAGAAATATACTTCCACAACCAAGGCCACGAAAAAAGTGGGCAGCCATTGTTGAGCTCTACAGGGCTCATAATTGTTAAGAGACAATTTCAGCAGTAACTATAACTCTACTGCTAAACAAATGGGGCCATGAAAGCTTGTTACAGAATAGGGGCGAGGCAGAACCTGATTTCACCAAGTGCAACATGTTCTTGGCTCAACATCTTTGTTGATCCTGGAACAACTTTCCGATCAACCAATCAGATTTGTGGGACACGTTTACAGTTTATGTCAAGTTTTGCCTTACAAGCAGGGTTAGATGCTTCTACATCTGTTATTTACCTATCATTTCTTCTGATTTTAGGGATAAGTTATGGGTAGGGTTAGGTTTAGGGGTAGGGTTAAGGTTAGGGCAAAATTTTCATACAGGAATGTTGTTCCAGGATCAACAAAATATGTTAACCCATGAATGCGTCTAACTCAGCAAAATCAGGACGTGCATCAGAGAGTGAGAGAGAGAAAAAAGAATATTCATTTACAGCACAAAACACAAATGTTAGACATACACAATACATAAGCCACATATTATCTGATGTGAGACAGATGAACAAGAGGGCAACAGAGCTTAAGCAAAAAAGAGATTCCCTTCCAGTAAAGACTCAGTAGGAATGTCCAAACCCTGCTCGCTGATGATTTCTGATCTATACCAGGTTCAGTATCAACAGTTGTTCATAAAACACTTCGACTCACCTGGTTCCCTGCTGAAGGCTTCTTACACGTTGGATTGGTTTTCTGTTGAGCGCTGAAAGGAAATGTGTAAAAGGAGGGAAATATCTCATCATGTCATTAATTTTGTGTTTTATTTCTGTCATTGTCATTTGTCGTTAAAACCTTACTTTGCGAATCCGATAAAATCTTCATGGTTTGTGTTGATGTAAGAGAGCTGAATCTCTAGTGAGAGTAAAACCTGTTCAGTGAACAAACACACACATATGCACAACAAGGTACAACACAAAACCATAATTTTTAATTAAAATGGTCATAATGTTAATTTCATTCATAACTAAACTGTCCCTAATGGTGATTCATTAGATTGGTTGTGTGCAGGTATCGGTCTGACCTGGTCTTTGGCTTGACTCTCTCGTTCTCGAATGTGTGTGGTCACTATTCTCTCAGTCTCCTCCCGTAGTTTTGGAAAGATCTCTAACTGAGGACACACACACACACACACACACACACACACACACACACACACACACACACACACACACACACACACACACACACACGCACACACACACACACACACACACACACACACACACACACACACACACACACACACACACACACAAACAAACAAACAAAAAGTAAATAAATAAAAAACATTACCACCACCCTCTTTAACTGGTTTAATTAAAGTTCCTCGTCTCATTGTCCTTTGTGAAAAAGGAATATTTTATTGAATGTGCACTCGCAGCATGCTTCAAATTAAAAAAAAAATATACATTTAAAAAAACTGTATTTGCTGATAATACTGTATATTATTAATGAAATAAAAGGCCACTTAAGTGTACTTAAAGAAATTACACTTTTAATTTGAACTGTAGTGTGTAATTTGAATAAAATTGTCGATATTACATTTAAAGTTAATATATTTTAAATATACTAAATTGCAACTTCATGTGTAATTAATTACAAAACTATTTAAACGCATAACATACAAGTCTCAAAAGAAATGTTTTCAACAATTTTCTT